GGAAAGGGTGTGGCATATGCCAAATAGTGCAGTGATTAGTGTGGGAGAACCAAGTTTAAAAATGCTTCTCTGCCATATTTGAAGATGGTAACTTGAACCCACAGTGCCCACCTCCTGTGGAAATAGTCTGCTTCCTCCCTCACACAGGCATACACTTTAAAGCTGTCAAGTATTATGAGTTCCCTGGTCTGTTTGAAAAGCCCCTCTCCTAGTAAAAAGCTAAATGTTCACTGTCATGGCATTTCAGACTGCTTACCTGACCCCTTCCCATTTACCCAGTTGGCCAGAAACATCAGAAAGCTGATTCTCCTGCTCACTGTGCCAGAGAAAATTTACAAAGTCAGGAAAGGTATTTGCATGAGAAACATCCACCATTACAGCACAGTAGTGAACTGGTGCTACGTGAGAGATTCGGATTACATTCTTAAACACACTGTGGGATTTTAGAACACATCTCTCAAATGAGTAGTCTCATGACAGAATCACTCACCAGGATCAAGCTGGCTTTAAGCTCCTAAATTCAGGAAGGGCCTGAACTTAAGGTACTTAAGAACCCTAAATGGACACATTTCTATACAGAATTAGTATTTAAGGCATATTCGTCCTCACCCCCTTCTTCCAAGGTATTTATTAATAGGCAATGCAGACAGATGCACCCTTATCTTGTTAGCTCCCGGTTCCATGGCATGGCAGGAGACCGCAGTGCTCCTAACAGAGGCCTGGAATACTTTTGTTAGGCTCTGCAACACAAAACTCCCTGTGTGCATCTAACTACAAATCACTACACTAATGGAAAAAAAAAAGTTGCAATCTGAATTTTCAACAGACATTCTAGAAGATTATAACCTTGCAATTAATAAAGATGACCAGTGTATCAATTTCTTCAGAAACAATGCTTGTGAATTAGGAGGCACTATTACAACACGAGTAAAGCCAAGTCATTTACCATTCATGCTGGGCACACCTGCACTAACTAGGGATTACTTTCAGGCTAGGCAATATACTAATTATCCTGTTTATCTCTAATCAAAAAATTGCAGCCTGCCAACTCAGAAGGTAATGTCCTATTTTGTTTCTGTTTCACAGGCCCTCAACAAGATAGACACTATTTAATTTTAATGGGAGTAGGGGGAGGAGCAGACAGTCCTCTGCATGTAGAGTGATAGTGAAAATGATCCTCAGCCTTTGGGTTTGAGGGAGATGACTGGATTCTTGGATCTACATCCCTTTTCAGAGGCACACAAGAAAAAGTAGTAGTAGTTCACCTGACAAAAAGAAAGCCAACTGCCTTTATTTGGCAAACAGCTTATGAGATGAGGTATCAGAGAATTAAAAAAAAAAAAAAAGAAAAGACAAAAAGAAGTACATCAAAAGAAAGACTGAAAACCCTGGATCTCAGCATGTATTTACAGGGTACAAACTTTATGTACACACAGACTTCACATTTACATAAACTACAGCCACATGGAGTATAATAATCAAAGCTATAGCTGCAGAAGTATTAGGCAACTGAAACAGCAGTATCTGTGTGATCAAGGACAACAAGATTACCTAGCCTGATCTACCACATGAGACAGATTTTCAGGTCTCGCCACTTGAATTCTTGCTTGAATTAGACCTTCTCTTGCTAATGCAGCCACCCTTCAGTCAGTGGCTTTTAAGTCTACTGAAGCCTAAGTTTGAATTATTTCTTTGCTGTCAAGAAACTGTCCCACTTGCATTATGAATTTACCAAACTTCTAACTACTGAATCTCTTAGAGGTTGACATATCCTATTAGCCACTTTCTGTTCCGTGTCTAATTAACTTAGTGTGATCAAGTTATCCTACGAGAAAAATCTAAAGCTAGGTTGTTCTGTCAGACTCTATGAAACATTGAATGGAATTCACAGATCCATAGGAACGCAGAAGCTGAAGTACCAGTTGAAGTATAAAGCTCATTTGCAAAGCAGAGAGTAATTCATACCCTGTTCCCTAACAGCATCAGAGATAAGAAGTCAGTTCCATACCAGTTTGGTGGTTTTTACCCTACTGCAAATTCACAATTGATGGACTACTGAAAAAATGAAATGCTGACTTGTATTAGTCACAAGGGGGTGGCACAAGAAAATACTAAGAGCACTGTCCCGTGGAGCACACTGCTCCCCCACTGTCATCTGCTTTATATAAAAAGTAATGAAGGAGATGACAAAGAACCTCGAATAGCCAAATTACGTTGGCTGAGACTTTACTCTTAAATAAATAAATAAATAAATATGTGCTTCACCAGCACTTTTGACCTATGCATGATGCGTCTTTATCAGAAGCATTGTTGCTATTATTTAAGTTTCTTCATTTGTTTTTCCATCAGTTTACATTACATTGCATGTACCAGAATAACACATTATTCAGCGGCAGTTTTGGGAGTTGTCCAGAGGATGGCAAGAGTCCCAGAAAGCAATGTACAAATCATACATGTATGGCATGGGGCAAAGACAGAACTCGATTACTTTCTCTCTCATCCACTGAATTGTCTCAGATGACAGTAGCTCACACATGATGCTGCACCCAGCCTCAGTCCAAGCAATAATATAATCTCCCCTCTTACAGACCTCCCTCTACAAATCTTAGCAGCACAGTCCATGCTGGACAAGTTCTGGCCAGATACTTACCAATCATCCCCAACTACACTAACACAAATCTCATAATGGCAGTTTCTACATTACCACTAAAATTAGTTGTGCTAATTAAAACTGCGTTTGCCAAAAGAACCAGGTTCTTGCCAACCATTTTTCCTTTATCCCTAGCTAGATCAGGCAAAGAAAGCAGGATTTACACTGCATGAGGACACCATCAATTATGGCCTACCACTGGCACCTCCCTCCTCATCAATGAAAAGGTGTTGCAGAAGTTCATGCAATCTACTTAAATAAGTTCCTCTGAACACATCCTACACATACCAGCATGCTACAGATCATACAAAACTTCATCCCCTGAATTACCTTGGTGGTCACAAGGAATCACTGGAAATTTGTTTTATGTGAGCCACTATTTTCCCGTTTATTACTCCAGAAATTACTTAGAAATTTAAGGTAAGAATAATCTTTCATTGGGAGAAACTGCTTATGAATGCAAGTTATACAGAACTATATCCATGCTGTGTTTTATTTCCTGACTTTTGGACTGGTAGGTAGTTAGGACTGAAGCAGGCATTCAATGAGGTCCAGAAGAAATATGCCTAGACAGCCCTGACTCACATTTACAAGATCCTAAAACAACAACAGCTTCTTTCACAGGCTAGAGTTACATGCCAATAAGTCTATACAAAAGCATACACTATGCTTGAACAGTGCCGAAGAACTAAGCAACAAAAGAGAAATGCTCTGTCTGCTCGAAAGAGGTTGTAAGCATTTTTGTCTGGAGAGAAGAAACCGATCACCTCTGCCCCAGCTATGGAACTGCCCCCAGCCACAGCAAAAGCTGGAAACTGCTGTTGCCACCTCGTGGGCTCCATGTCCACTGTTAAAGGCTTTTCTCTTCCAGCCACTTCCCGAGAGTGGACAAGTGCTAGTGTCTGGAAGAGCAGACACTCTCCAGTCAGCGTGCTAAAGACGTCCATTTACAATTGAGGACTCCTCCAGTGGAAAGCCTCCAGGAAGGAACAGAAGTAATTTACTAAAATCAAGAGAGTGGAAACTGCGTGTAAGCAAAGTTAGCCAGCTGACAAGATAGACTTAATTGGGTTGCAAAACCATCTTTTCAAGAGCAGAGCATAAGATCTTTTCCTTAGAAATGTATCAGTGGCCCGTTTTAAGAAAGCAAGAACACTTAAGTAGTATTATAGGACTGAATGGCTTCCCTTCAGCATGAACAATGACTTTGCTAGCATTTCTACAAGAATGTACAGCAATTGACCCGAGGACTCCACTTGCCTTTCTCACTAAACTGGCTAGTGAGTGATGCCTGACTCAAAGTTCTCGATTAACTAGGTCTCTCCTTTTTCACCCCTCAAAAACTGGAGAATTTTTCCAGGCCAAATGAAAGACATTTAACCAAAGACCTCACAGGAACTATTGCTTCCATTTTCAGCATTTAAGTCATAAAAAGCATGGAAAGCCAGAGGGAGAGAGCACTGTTACAATTTAGCAGCAACGCAAATGCAATCCAGGAATTTTGCTGTTAGAACGTTCCCTCAAGTTGCACTTTGTTTGCAGTTCATCCAAGCTACATCTCCAGCCTAATCAGAAAGCACAATACAATGGCCTACAAAACATCATCAAGCTTAGCAAAAAATCAATGGCTTGAGATCAAAATACCTGAACCCCAACTTTAACACAAAACTCCAAATACTCAGATGCTTCTTTAATCCTGCTGTTTAATGCACTAGATATAACAACGTATTTAAAAAAAAAAAAAAAAAAGCATTAACACATTAACAGTAACATCTGTAGTCAGTTGCCAGACCAGTCAAGACTGGATCAAAATTCTGATCTTGCCTTATGGATTAGATGAATGCAAGGCTACGGTGACTTCAGGAAATTCAGTGCATATCTCCTTTCATTAACACAGAACACGCACACACCCGGGCTGCTACCTTTAATCCCTTTATAAAAGGAAAAGCAGGATAAATGCACCTGGAGAGCAGGCACCTAGATTAGCTGCTTTCAGGTATTCCACAGGACTTCAGTGGTATTTTATGGCATTTATCCATGCTACCAGAAGCAACTGTTGCACATGTTGGGAAACCATCACACATTATGGCAGTAAGACTGGACAAGCAGCAGTATTTGCATGAAGCAGAGATTTACTGCTATGGTAACACTGGACCCCAAAGCCAGGTCATGCACAAGTGGGAAACACATCAGGAAACAGGTCTTTGAAAACAGAGACCAAAGAGAACGAACCTGGATTCAGGTAAACATAACACCCTAAAATAAAGGCCTGTGACTGACTGCATGGAAGCAGTGCCGTATTTTCTGGTGCAGGTGAAAAATCATTAAGAGTTTCTCAAAGGAAATCTCATCTCCCAACAAAACTCTAGCTCCATAACTGAGAGCAATGCAGTTGTAAGTTTATCTGGAATAAACAGAAAGTTCAGCATTGCTCCGAATCAAGGCAATACTTTCAGGCCAGCAAAATTCATCTTAGATCACACCTGTCCATTCAACTTAACTCTAACTATTTTTGCAGCTTTGAAAGAAGAAAACTAATAGCAGCTGAAAAACTCCCAAATTGGCATCTGTATGAATAACCTGACAACTCTTTATGGAGTGGTGGAAGAAGGGAGAATGGAGGAAGATGTTCTACCAAAACTGAAATGATGACCCATTGCAGGGATGGTGTTTTTAAAAATAATTTCTTTTCAAGGAGAACTGAAGTTACTGGAATATCTGTATTATCCACCATCAGCCCTGAACCTCTCAATCCGAGCAAGAAGTGAGAGAGACAGGGACAGTTTGTGAAGCTCAGCAGTTAGTGGGTGACACACTGGGTACAGTCCTGAAGGGACCATTTCTTTTGGTAGTGCACGAAGTTTTTCACATGTTGGTGCTCATCCTGGACTGGCTGTTAGCTGGAGTAAGCTCCCCTTGGCTACCTTCTCTTGGAGGAGACTGCAACAAGACCAAAACACATCTAGTCAGTGATGCGTAAATATCCTGCAGAGTGCTTCCTGAGAGACCAAATGAAACACAGGTGAAGCACAGCAGGGTAACAGCAGGGGCAGAGCATACCCCCAACTCATAAATAATGATTGCTTTGGAAAAGCTTTGTGTTTACAACTTCTATAGTTACAGTTCACAAGAACTGTTCCTAAAAAAGTCAAACCAGAACTTTTAAGCCACTCTTATTTACTATGCACAAGGTGCTGTGTGCCCCAGAAGCTGAATCCTATCTGGCATTTAGTTATCGCAGAGATTAACATAGTACAGAATTTAACACGTTCTGTGGTAGACGGCGTATTGTCCCTAAGGGCACTCTTTTTGGAACTGCATCCTGGAAGGAATACTCCAAGCAATGAATGCATTTTTTACTTCCTCTACTAAAAACAACAACAAAAAACCAACCAACCAAACAAACCCAAAACAAAACAAAAAAACAAACAAATAAACAAAAAAACCAAAAACCAGACTTCAAACAATATTTGTTTGATAAGATAAAAGATATTTGTATCAAGAATTAGTCAGAATGAATTACTCAGAATCAATCTAAGCATACAAACTTCAAAGGACATTCTGTGTTTTACAAGCAGGTCAACGTATTGGCTAGAAACGCTTGTTCCTTACATGTTTAGTAAGGAACTATTACTATTGTAATAGTAATATTGTGATATATTAATTATAATTAATTACTATTGTAAGAATTCATTCAATCACAAGCACAATAAATCCATTCCCCTCCAGAATCCTCCATTCACCACCTTTTATACTTTCAGTTAAAAAAAAAAATTTTAAATCTTAACACTGTCTCAAAGTCCACATTTAACATGCCCATACCTTGACATGTATCTGGTTGCGCAGGACTGCAGCTCGCAGGATCATAGCTTTGGCACGTCGCTGAAACTCTTTGCCCATTAGTAAAGACTTCTCAAAAGTTGTGCTGCGCTGATCTACATCGCGAGCATAAAGAATCTGTAACCAATACAGAGAACTGTACACAGGAGCTATGAGAGGGTTCCACAGTAGGAAGCCCTTTCTGCGCAAGGGAACAAAACTAAGGTATGACAGATCAGCCCTATTGAAAATACCAGTCACAACAGATGAATGCAACTTCAGAGTTTCCCAGGAATGGAGAGTTTCTAATCTTAATACAGCTGTTCAGCCTGTGGCTCAGATGCACTAACCTTACTGTGCGAGTCTATTCTGGCATTGATCAGTCCCTCCAGAATCAGCTGAGTAAGTTCATCTTCCAGAGCAGCCACTGTGGTATTAAAAGCAGTGGCCATCTTGCGCATATCTGCCGACACATAGGGGCTAAAGTACTAGGAAGAAGAAAATATTCAGTTGCCAAACGTGCTCCCCACCCTCTGAAAAAACATGGGAAAAGCAATTACAAAGAGATGGGCTATCTTACTTTTCATCCACCTCTCAGGATTACAGGAACAATTACCTGGATAAGGGCACGATTTCGAATCTGGGTGTAAAGCGTCCTGACATGAGGTGCAAGGTACATATCCAGCAGCAGGTTGTCCTGTGCAAAAAAACACATTAGAAGCTGAGAAGCAGCCTGGAAAAACACATTATTCCTATGTTCTGAAACATATATGTATCTATACTTAAACCTTACGGATATTACACTACAGCAAGAAAATACCATAAATCAAGAATGAATAACAGAACTAGCAATATGTTTAAAAAAAATACCATTTCTCCTCATGCTCTACTGCTAAACTACTTCCAATTTTCATTCAGCACGTCAGGAGACAGAAGACACAGAAGAGCTGAACACTCTTAGTAGCTACTTTTAACAGTCACTGCTTCTCACAAAGGGCTAGGTGCAGAAAACTTTTAGGGTCTATTCTGCACTGCTCCCCTGCAACTCACCTTCATCTCATCCAGCATCTTCAGGCATGAAGCATATTTAGATTCATAAAACTTGAAGATGATGTCACGAACCTGTGGCTCCAGCTCCAAAAACAATTTGAAGGAGCTACAAATAAAGATGGCAGTGATCAGACACTGGAACCCACCGCTTAAATACCCTACAGTCCCATCACTCCAAGTTGCAAAGTTACAAACTCTCATTATCATTTAAGATTCCAAGAATTTACCCTCTAACAGACCAGATAGCCTATTTTCAGCAGGGCTGGGAGCCTGGAACACAGAGAGATGCAGCACAGCATCAGAGCTGTGGTGAAGGAAGGCAAGAGACTTTTGATAAATCAAGCAGTGTTTGTCCACACAAAACAAAAAAATGAGTGTGAATAGGTCAAAATCAGGATGTACCACCAGAAAACATAGGCCACATCTGTGCAGGCACCGTACTCTGTGCTGGCCAGCTTTGTGTTCCCTTTCAAAGCACAGCCTTCACTAAGTACAGCATGCCATAGACAGGTAAAGCATGCACCTGTCTCAGGAAAATAACCTATCATGTGGGAGATCTTTGAGATGCACACTCTTTCTCAGTGCTCTCCGAATTCTCCATCACAGATTTCCGAACCTTTGGGATCTCACCCTATGAATCAGTCAATAAAAAAGTCAGGGTAACAACCCTTTTTCCACATAAATTTAACTCTTTCTCAGTGCTCTCCCAATTCTCCATCACAGATTTCCGAACCTTTGGGATCTCACCCTATGAATCAGCCAATAAAAAAGTCAGGGTAACAACCCTTTTTCCACATAAATTTAAAATTAGTGCTTCCATACACTTAGCTAACAGGAATTCGGTACCACTGTAATTCAATCTATGACACACAAATACCCATTTGCTTCCAAAGACTGTAATTCTCTTAACCTTGCATATGTCATAGTTAGATTACACTGCAAGTTGTATTAACAATTATTAAATTGCATTAACACAATTAACATACCCCAGAACAAGTAGTAACATGAAAGCAAATTATATTACAGCTGCCTTCTGTAGGGCTCTATCCCTCCGATTTAATATCTGATATGGACCTCTGACAGAAAGAGAAAATTGGGCTATGCAGATGTTGGATTTGACCCAAGTTGGAAAATTCCATTATACTACAAAAATTTCACCTGTGATTAACCACTGTGTTTTAGACAGCAAAACGTCACTTAATGCTAAAGCCAAACTAAGGCTCAGTGATTCTTTCTCTCCTGTGCAAGAAAGCTATTACTCCTGCCAGAATTCGCTCTCAGCTGAAGTCCCATGTCCCAAAAGATGTCCAGTACATACTAACTCCTTTCAAGGCATCACTTACCTGCTGGAGATAACATTTCGTTGCAGTTCCTGACGGTCAAAGGTAGCAAGGGCACAGAGACCACCATACACAGCCACATTACTAGGAGATAACAGCTACAGAGACAGAGAAAGATCGAGTTGTCACTGACTACTAAAATGGCAGAAGGTTGGAATTAAGTATTCTACCCCAGGCCTTTCCTTCACCTGTGCCAAGATTAGCCCTTGTCAAATGCAGTGGAACCACTCAGCATGCTCTCAGGCATTCACCCAGAGCCTGAGAAGTCCACTTCTAAGAGAGCAGAAACCTGTTCCAAGAGCCAGTCTTTTGACTGAGCTACACAGACACACAACTGGTAATTCCTGTGTGATCTAGAGTAGATAGTTTAGAGAACCTAAGAACACAGACTCTTAAAAAAAAAAAAAAAAAAACAACAAAAAACACACCCCACACACAAAAAACACACAGTTCACAGCACCACCAACTATCATAGAAGCACGGAATAGTTGAATATACAGGACTGCTGTGAGAATATCTGAATTTTACAACCTAATACTTAGAAGAATTACATCCCCTCCAAGACCTGCACACAGCGCCCTCTTGGTCCTCACCTCAGGGAAATCACAGTGATCAAATGATGCCAACAAGAAGCACTTTGCTGCCTGTTTGTACTTCCGAGCAGCTAGTTCAGCCAAGCCTAGGAAGCAGGAAAAGTTAGTCCTTTGTTTATGACAGCACACAAATTAGGAGAAATTACAAAATCTGGGGAGTAGGACAGGCCCCCACATGGTTGCTAGTGCCTTCAATACTGAAGTGAAACCAGACTCTCAGATAGTATCTAGCATCCTCTGAACTACGTTGACTCACACTGGTATCCTTTCTGAAAAAACTTAGGGAGAAGAAAGAAATGGCAAAAACAAGTCAGCAGTTCCATCTCATCCAGTTTATTAAATTTTGCATTTCTGTTGAGAAAATACAAAGTCTGTAAAATCTGAGAGAAAAAGTAAGCCAAGCACACACTGTTGTCAAAGAGCCCTATGGACAGCTAACAGGCAGAAATACAGGCAGACAATACAGGAAGATGAAGGATTCACTCACCTGCTGCACATTTCAGTTTGGTGAGAATTGCTTGTGTCTGGCTGTCTCTTTCTCCTCTTTGCTAAACGATAAGAAAAAGCAGTAGTGAGCAAGCAGTATGAAAACTGCTTTGATTACAATGTCCTTGGGATACTTTATCCTAATAATTAACTTGCAAATCTCAACAGCAAGGTAACTTCATCTTATTTGTCTTGGGAAATATACCAAGAACTGAGGATGGAAAGTCTCTGTTTTTACCATGAGTCAGATTTCATATACACATATCATGGGAGAAAAGTAACAATTGCCAAGAAGGCCAATGGGATCCTGGGGTGCATTATGAAGAGAGCATGGCTGGCAGGTCGAGGGAGGTTCTCCTTCCCCTCTGCCCTAGTGAGGCCCCATCTAGAGTACTGTGCCCAGTTCTGGGCTCCCCAGTTCAAGAAAGATGAGGAGCTACTGGAGAGAGTCCAGCGGAGGGCTATGAGGATGAGGAGGGGACTGGAGCATCTCTCCTATGAGGAAAGGCTGAGGGAGCTGGGCTTGTTCAACCTGAAGAAGAGAAGGCTGCGAGGGGACCTTATAAATGCTTGTAAGTATCTCAAGGGTGGGTGTCAGGAGGACAGGGCCAGACTCTTTTCAGTGGTGCCCAGCGACAGGACAAGGGGCAACGGGCACAAACTGAAGCAGAGGAAGTTCCAGCTGAAGATGAGGAAGAACTTCTTCACTCTGAGGGCGATGGAGCACTGGAACAGGCTGCCCAGGGAGGCTGTGGAGTCTCCTTCTCTGGAGATTCAAGACCCGCCTGGACAAGGCCCTGCGCAGCCTGCTGTAGGTGACCCTGCTTCGGCAGGGGGGGGGTGGTGGGGGGAACCCCCACGTC